AGGGCACATACAATTTCATTAGTGAAATAGTCAAGTATAATTTTTTCTACAAATAACTTCCATTCGAGAAAAAGTGTGGTTAAGGTAAACAGATTAAATTTACCTCCGTCATTTTCTATCGATTACATAAAGGATGCATTAATGACATGGTAATTTAATGGTAATACTGCTCTTGTTCAAATGGATATTGAAAACTGATTCCAGTGTCTGCAGGAAAACACGAGTTCACTGTGGATTTTTATATTTTAACATGCCACATGGTCATTTTTCATGATCCTGTCTTTCTCCTGATAGGGAATCCCCAGACGACCTCATAATAGTGTATGTCTTTTAATTTCGTATTGCTGTCCTGCCATGTTTGATACTACCTAGATTTTGTTTAGTAAGAAATATTATGCTATATAACAGGTAATTTTACATGCAATATAAATTAATTTTAGCTTTCTTGCTTATTTTTAGAAATATCCGAAATGGCAGAAGATCCAGTGAAGGTAAGATTTTGTTTGGTTTTTAAGTAAAGGTTAAATAAAACTCAGTTACACGTTAATGATTGGAGTGAATGTACTTTGAATGTGACTTGCCTTTAACATTAACTACTAGATGACAAACATGATAATTGGATCAGAACTGTCTTTAAAAAGCCATTTACTATTTTAACTGAACAATCAAGCCACCTGTACATCTGATATGTTGAACTAACGCTGTTATAAAGGGACGTTGTTTGCACAACTAAAACAATTGTCTCTCTTACATGTTAATTTCTGTGATTGGGTATTACTTATCATTGTCCAGGTTGGAAAATTCTTTCTTTTTCTTTTTTCTGCAGAACGCACTCCAGCAAATCAGGAGTGGCTTGATGAAGGCGAGCAGCAATACTGTAAACATTGATGACGTGGAACAGTGTTGCCGCAACGCTATAGAGCAACTAGAAAAAAAAGTGAGAGGTATGTTGAGACAAATTTTCAGTTTATTAATATAAAGTTTTGAGACAGTCTTAAATTGTTCAAGTATTTTTAAGACCCAAAAGAAATTTATGGGACTCGATGTAGATCAGAATTCTGAGACTGATCAGCAGTCAGATATGTGAGAAAGAAAGTGTCTTGCAGTGAGTGAACGTCCTCTTCAGCACAGCTGATTTGTGTTTGAACTTTGGGTCACTTCATGTCACATTGTAAATACTCAGTAATTTTTAATAAGACTATTGTGCACGTTGATTAGGGATTAGGAGGATTTTAAGGCAAAACTCACAACTGATGCAAACAAATGATGCCATGTTTGATAACTACCAAGGGTTTTTTAGTAAGAAATATTATGCCATATAACAGGTAATTTTACATGCAATATAAATTAATTTTTGCTTTCGTGCTTATTTTTAGAACATCCCGAAAATGGAGAAGATTCAGGACAGGTAAGATTTTGTTTGGTTTTTAAGTAAATCTTAAATAAAATTCAGTTACACGTTAAT